TTAAACTCTTAAATGATCTTTCTCGAACTCCTTGGTACTTTTAAAGGCATCCAATAAAAGAAGCACTTGGTGAAGCCAACAGTCGCCTATAAACGTTTATATGTGATATAAATAAATATACATGGGATTTTACCTACAGTGGAATTATCCTACCGAAAAAAGTGAACACAGTAAACCTCTCTCTTTCCTAATATTATGAAACTAGGTTCTTCAAGATCCTGATTGAGACACTTCAAGAGAAAAAGCAAAAACTGCTTGAACGTTTTGGGAAAGTAAAAGAACTGCTTCTTTTGTGATTATTTTGTAAACACCAGCGAATAATTAAAAAAAATACACCAAAAAACAAAAAAAAAAACGAAATAGGCAAATTCAAATATATCAAATTAAAAATCAACAGACAGCACACACACCTGACAGAGATTACAGTTAGAATACCTTTTATTGACATATTCTTCATGAAATATGTTGCCGGTGTGGGTCAAGGGCAAGTCAATGAAATAAAAAAGAACAAGACAGAAAATAAAACAACTTATTATAGACCTACCAAAGGTGAGGGCGGAGGAGAAAGAGGCATTTTACTGATTGAGAGAAAAACATTGGGGGTCCGTTTTATTTTCCTTCCTTCTAATAGTATATTTTAGAAAGGCCATTGAACATTGCGTGACAAAAAATAAAAATTTTATGGGTCCACCCCTCCCCCCCATAAAAACCCAAAAATTAACTGTCCCCCTTTCAAAAAAAGGTGTGCCCCAAATCTGCCCATACCCAAAGTTTACGTTTCCAGCTCCTTCTTGTGCATACTTTCCGAAGATGTACACAAAATATACATGCAGCTAGATGTTAACAGAACGTGCATTTGGTGCTGGTAAATAAACTCCACCATTTATTTGCGCAAAATAATACTGTGTATCGAAATAAAGGTTTCACAACCTTAAGTTTGTTACATGTACTCCTAATTAAACTGTGTGCTGCATAAAATACAAGCTTAACAAAGGATAAGGAAAGACCCATCACCAGTTAGTTTAAAAAATCATTAGACAGAATGTATGTAAAAATAAATGCAATCCAGTATAACTCATTAGTACATCAAAAGTATGAAGCCAAACACTGTATGGTTGCATCTGAAAGGATACCGCTAATGTATAAGTTTCCGGGTGATGCCTGACTTGCATATCTGCCATTATGGATGACTGAGCAACATAGTTTTACAGATTAATACGTAAAAACCATCCTTTTCTCTAATTGGGCTGGTGGTTCTCTGAGCTTTCTACACGTTCTGGCACTGGATTTGTGATTACAATTAACAGGCTTTCTTTGGATTTAACTATTTTTCAGAAAAAAGGATAATGATTCACCTCTTTATTCAGCAACACCTTCAACATGTCTAT